CCCCCCGGCCGGGCGGGTGCTGGCCGAGGGGCGGGGGGGGGACAGGCAGTCAGGCCACAGTCGGCCCAGCCAGCCCAGGCAAGCTTCACTTTCTCAGACCAGAGAAGCAGGTGACAGGAGCCTCAGCTCACCACAAAGCCACTCCAGGCCGACCTTTACTTTCCATACCCTTGAGTGTCATGGGGCAAACTGGGTCAACAGGACCATCTACTGAGGCACCCAAGTGACTTGGGGCCACCCCTCAGGCCACACCCAAAGGAGAAGCCCAGACTGGGGCCCAGGCCCCAAAGCTGGATCAGAGGGAGGGAAAGGGAGGAGCCCAAGCAGCCTGAGGGATCCCAGCCGGCCAGGGGCTCACCTGTACTGCCTCGCCCGGTCCATGTACTCGTGCTGCTCCATGCCCTGGGAGTCTGCAGCAGACACGTCGATGATGTTGCTTTGGGGAGAAGAGGCAGAGAGGACATAACAGGTGCTTCCGAGACGGACAAACAAGACTCACTGCCAGTGCCAACTCCAGGGCTGTCTGACACCAGTGTCCCTGCCTGCCCATGGGAGCAGGGCTGGGCCCAGAGGCACCTCTCCCCACTGATCTTGTCCCATCCCCCACATCCCGGGCCTGGCTCTCCATCCCAGTCTTTAATATGGATGAAGGAGGTCTGCCCCAGGCCCGGTCCTGTGATGCCCACCTGGCTGTCTTGGCGAGGATGGAGGAGAGCAGCGCCTGCTCATCGGTGCGAGCGGAAGGCAGGCTGTGATAGTTGGGCTCGGCTCCATTGAGGGCTTTGCTGGGTGGGCTGCTAGGGTCCAGCAGCAGCTTCCGCTCCTCTCGGTCCTAGGAGAGGCCATGGGGGGAGACATCAGCCCTGAGGCCCTTAGTCCAACCCACCTTTATTAGGCTCTCTTCTCAGCCCAGCTCTGACCTTTAAGCACCAAAAATATTTTTATTAGGAATATCCCAAGTGCCCAACTGTACAGAATGTCGGCTCTAAGACTCAGATCCTGCCTGCCCTTGGAAGCTAAGCTAAGCTGGTGGTCTAGGATGAATTAAAGTGGAACCAAGCAGTCTTAGAGGCCCTGAAAAGATGGACAGAGGCACAAAGCAGGTATTTAGTAACAGCCCTGCAGCTTCAGAAAATGGTCCAGGGCTTCCCTGGTGGTGCAGTGGTTAAGAATCCGCCTGCCAATGCAGGGGACACGGGTTCAAGCCCTGGTCCGGGAAGATCCCACATGCCGCGGAGCAACTAAGCCCATGCACCACAACTACTGAGCCTGCGCTCTAGAGCCTGTGAGCCACAACTACTGAACCCCCGTGCCACAACTACTGAATCCCACATGCCTAGAGCCTGTGCTCTGCAACAAGAGAAGCCACCGCAATGAGAAGCCCGCGCGCAGCAATGAAGACCCAACGCAGCCAAAAATAAATACATTTTAAAAAAAAAGAAAGAAAAAAGAAAATGGTCCAGCCCCCAGCAGAGAAAGGATATTGGAGACTGGAAGACAGAGGAGGTGGAAAATACCAAAACAGTGGGGTGTAGAGGAGAAACTAATACAAGTCAGGAGCCCAAGAATGGCCCTCCTAATCCCCCAGACCAGATCCTCTCCAGCAAGGCTGTCTGCTCCCAGGATGGAGAGGCCCTGTGAGGCCAGACAAGGCCCTGGGCCCCAAGGAAAACCAAGTCCAACCTCTCAATGGCCATTCCTCATATTATCTCAGGACAGGAGTCCCAGGTGCAAACTCTGGGTCCCACAGTCCGAGTGTCCCTTCTTTTTCTTTTCTCTTTTTTAAAATAAATTTATTTATCTTTGGCTGCACTGGAGCTTCATTGCTGCGCATGGGCTTTCTCTAGTTGTGGCGAGTGGGGGCTACTCTTCATTGTGGTGCATGGGCTTCTCATTACCATGGCTTCTTCTGTTACCGAGAATGGGCTCTAGGCACGCGGGCTCTAGAGAGCAGGCTCATTAGTTGTAGCACACGGGCTTAGTTGCTCTGCGGCATGTGGGATCTTCCCGTGTCCCCTGCATTGCCAGGCGGATTCTTAACCACTGCACCACCAGGGAAGCCCTTTTTTTTTTTTTTAATTATTTATTTATTTGGCTGCACTGGGTCTTAGTTGCAGCGTGCAGGATCTTTGGCTGCAGCATGTGGGAATCTAGTTCCCTAACCAGGGATCGAACTTGGGCCCCATGCATTTGGAGCATGGAGCCTTAGCCAATGGACCACCAGGGAAATTCCCAAGTGTCCCTTCTTTTTTTAAATTTTTTAAACATTTATTTATTTATTTTGGCTGCACCAAGTCTCACTTGCGGCATGCAGACTCCTTAGTTGTGGCATGCAAACTCTTAGTTGCAGCGTGCATGTGGGATCTAGTTCCCTGACCAGGGATCGAACCCAGACCCCCTGCATTGGAAGTGCAGAGTCGTACCCACTGGACCACTAGGAAAGTCCCCAAGTGTCCCTTCTTGAGGGCAGGTCCCTTCTACTCTCAGGTGATCACTCTCCTC